CCTCCATAGCAATCAGTGTAGCACAATGATTAAAGAATAGAAATGGGGAGGCCCAAATTCTAGTTCCAACTTGACTGCAAAGCTCACTGGGTGACTAAGCTGAGCGCTCTTGCTCTCTCTCTCTCTCTCTCTCTGCCCAACCTAGGGGTTGTTTTGGAGATAAAATGAAGGGAGACACCCAGGCACTCTTAAGCTCCCAGAGGAAAGGGGATAGAAATGCAATAAATATCTAGGGTTAATCCTTTAAGGAAGAAAAGCAGACAGTTTAGATCTGTAATTGGATTGGCCTACAGTGTTTATATCATGTACTCTCCCACTAAAAACAGTTTTCAAGAACAAAAATAAATTAACGCAAGCATCTGCTTTTTATTTAACATACAAGGCAATGTTTCAGAAGGAAGTGGAAATGCCACTTTACCAAAACAATTGCCTGAATCCAAAATACAACCCAAATCTAATTCCGGATATGAAGTCTTCAGGAAGTCACTGTGGTTCCATACACCCTGTCTGAAAACCCTTTTCCCTATTTGTATTCTTTGCTTGAACTGTCTTAAGTTATTCTGAGCAGACCCTGTATGAAGAATGCTACAGGAATGCCAACAAAAATTTGACTTCAGTGCTCAAAAAGGGCTCTGCCATGCAACTACTTGCATCCATAATCTATCTGTGCAGGATTCTGTGTATTCACAGCCATGTGCAACTGGGACCAACATCAGGCTCATTAGCATTACTTTTTTCAGAAGAACTTCCAAAAACGAATTCTCTTTCTTTATGATTCAATGAGAATTAACAAAACCACAGAGTTTGGGCAGCCTGAGAAATGTTGATAGCAGGTCTAAGGCAGTTTTTGAAAGTTCTTAAGAGAACTACTGAGTTTTGCAAGAGAAAAGAGATCTCTGGATTCAGAAAAGACACACTCCAATAACCAATTTAGATCCAATTAAGAAACGGCACCACACACAAACCTCACGCTAATACTGTATAGTTAACAGCCCTGTTTTCTTAATAGATACACG